AGGTAGGGCCCAGGTAGGGCCCAGGTAGGGCCCAGGTAGGGCCCAGGTAGTGCAGGGTTTGCTCGAATTCCCACCGGCGGCCCCACGATGTTGGTCAGTGACGTTGGAGGCCAGTGAGGACGCCAACGAGGCGGGGCAGTCCATCGAGGCCAACGAGGCGGGTTCGGTGCTGCGGGTTGGCTCGGAGGCGAAAGTCGGAGCGAGGTTTTGGACTGTCTGAACGCTTATAGACTTATAGGTAAGCCATGGTAAGCCTTGGTTCCAAAGAGCATCCCGAAGCTGGTTCAAAAAAAGCATCCAGAAGCAGAAAAGATCCAGAACCATGCCCAAAGTCACGCTTTTGAAGGTAGATGGCATGTGAGAGCTGCTCAAAGTCAGCTTGCATACACAAATATCTTAGCTTCATTATATTTTGCTTCAGCTTCAGGCAACGCAGCAGGCATCATCAGTCCACACAAGTTGCACTGGCATGCCGAGCTTTGTGCCCGTTCAAGATCCAGAAAAGGCCAGGTCTGAGCAGGATGAAGAATCTTTGCGCAAGCACCGGCAGTTCGACACACCCTTCGCATTGCTACCAAAGGACTTAAACAACCCGAAAGAGAAGAAGGGTGACCTGAACCCGATTGCCAAACGATCAGAGGAGCTGTACCAGGATGAAAACAAGCTGTGGAAGAAAAAGCGGGAGGTTTTCGACAAGCAGCAAACCTGGGGCAGAGAAACTGCGATTTGGTCGAACCCCGAAGAGACGCGGGACAAGGACAAACGCAAGTACAAGCCTGGCGAGGTCTTCTGGGGAGCCAAGGGCACGTTCGGCGGGAAAAGCGAAGACAGTGGTCTACTGACCCTTCAACGGGGTGAAGTTGATCAGACCATGGAGCTGAATGAAAAGGGCCTTTGGGTGCGGAAGAAGAAGCCCACAGAGGAGGCCCCAGGCTTATCCGCCAGTGCCAAGCAGCTTCTGAAGGCGTCTTCCAGTGTAGAGGATCCATGCTTGGAGGCGGCCAAGCCAAAGGGTCGCGGCACAGCGGATGCTTCGGAGAAAGCCCTGCAGGCCTTGCAGGAGCGGCGGCAACTGGAGCGAAAGGTGGCGGATGAGATGGGCATGACGAACAAGGGCATGAAGCCGCAACATCGCTCGGGGCCGGTGACCACTTTGAACAACAGCTCCCAGCAATGTCGGCCCAGCAAGCGCCATGCGGGCATGAAACGATGGCAAGGAGTGCAAAGAAGTGATGAGGAGGCCAAGGAGATTGTTGAAAAGGCCTTGGGATCATGTGCTGTTGGCGGTGAAGCACCCAAGAGAATGGAGCCCAGCCAGACGTCTAACAAGCGAAACCGAAGCCCTTCCCCGGTACTGGGGTTGAGCAGCCCATCGGGCTCCGAAAAGGAAGATGATGGAAAGTTCGAAGCAGCCTGGATGGACTCCGATGATGAGAGAGAGGCCTCGAAGTTGAATCAAAAGCCATCCGGTGGTGATATCGTGGTCGACTTCTTCTGAAGCCCGTCACGGCCAACAGGGCCATGCTCGGCCAACAGGGCCATGCTGGGCCAACAGGGCCATTTTGGCCAACAGGGCCATGCTTTGTAAATACAAGTTCGTTGAGCTGAAAGCAGAGAGCTGCCTCTTTGATCAAAACCGGATTTATTCCGCAGTGGGAAGGGTAGGGAAAAGGTTTTAACGATCTTTTCAGTTAATTGCCTAGGTTTCATGCTCCGTTTTTATGAGTATGCGTATATCCCCGTTCTTATGGGACGGCCATGCCTTGTGGATGCTCCGTGCAGGGGGAGGTGTTGGACGATCTGCGGCACGTGGACGTCGATCAGCAGAAGAGGCGAGTGAGCGGAGAGCAAGCTCTGAGGGCTTTCATTGAACAGATGCAGGTCCCGGGTGATTCTTCACCCTTAAGCCAAGCAGGGCTACGAGACCTGAACTGTAGGCCTACAAGACTTGAGAGCACACAAGCTGTCCAGCATGTGTGCCAGCAGCTTGTTGTGGCTCAATCTTTGTTTAGCTCTCTCGTGCTGTCTTGCTCTTTCGCCATGCCTGAGACTATGGAGATCAGTGA